TTTTCAAGTGTAGGGACTACTGATCCAAATAATTCTCTGCAAGAGATTCTAACTTTTCCTTTATGGCTTTTCCATGATTGGCCAATCATCACTTTACGTACGTTTTCTAAAACATCTTCTTATATCATGGTTTCTGATCCTCAATTCTCATCATCAACTGCTTCATTGCATGCAAAAATATTATCGACGTCGATTTGCTTGTGATTCCATTCATTACAGACATGACTCAACTAGTTGAAATATCTTATTATTACTAGGTACCTAGATTTCTTTCTTTCTTATGTCTATGTCTCTTCTAGAGATTGCTTCCTCGGCCTTGCCATTTTATATATGCTCCTTTTTCTTTTCTGAGGATTCTTATATATGGAACCATTAGGTATATCACACTTCATGCGATCTTTAGCCTAAAAAAAAAGGCAGTTGATATTGTTAATCCGGGACATCAATATTAATTGGAGCACAGCTGGTATCACTCAACAGGGTCATAAAATGCTTATGGCATAACTTTTCAAATAAATTATTTTTTTAACTTTTAGTGCACATCTTTAGTGAGGATCAAGATAATTTTTATTCACTGAATTTCCAGCTGTTTATTTTCTTCTCCCTTTATAATTTGTTGGAAAAACTGACTCACTGAAATAACAGTCTGTAAATCAAACCTTATTAAGGAAGATTTATATCCAACAATTCTTAACCTTCTTTGAGGTTCCATCTAAGATTAATGTGGTGGAGCAACATTATATCCACAACTTTATGATGAGAAATGTCTGGCTCCTGACCAAAACCAATCTTGAGGAAAATTCAAAATCATTTGTTGGCATAATACGAGTCAATGTGGTTTCACTCTTAATCAATTAACCAAATACTTTCGCAAAATATAATGGATGATCAGTCCAAGAATATCTTTTTGTATAAGTACCAGAAAATCAATAATTCCAAATTTATTGGAGAGTGAAAGCCGAACACATAAGAATCTTCTAGATCTTATTCGTATTATTATTAAACTGGAATGGCTTAACCAGTCATGCCAAAATAGTGAGATTTCCAGTAAACTTCTGGTTTACAATACACATTTTATATCTTATATGATAGTGTAATACAATCCAATAGAGAATGAAGTAATTTCTTTAAAATACTTTTACTGTTTTGGGTAATACTCATGATGTGAAGATATTTAACATTATATTCATTCATTGTCTCGACTTGATAAATCTTAAAATCTTCTAGATTTTCTTTACACAGAATTTATAGACAGAGCAAGTGAACATAATCTTCTGGATGTTACACTTATTATGAAATGTGGGATTCGTCAATTCTCCCCCGGGAGAGGAAGACCCTTCAAATCCATTCATATGGAACCAATCCTACAATAGAATCAAAAACATAACCAACAGGGTCATGTGTTTTAATCTTAAATTCTCAATCTTTTGAGATTTGAGGCAATATAATCCATTAATAATTTCAAATCATTCTTATAGACAATCATATATGCTCTTCTGGAGCATTCAATATTTTTTCGTACCTCTGATTAGAGGCGGAAGATAAAATTGGTGGATCAAAAACTGGTGGTGTTTTGCTCCAAGATCACAAGAAAATTGTCACAACAAAAATTTATAATTAAAGCATTCGAAAAAACAAGAAACTTTCGTTTACAATCACAAACTCATTTTATATAATTAATATTTAATTAACCATGATAAAATCTCAAAATGTAAAGAAATAAGAACTGAGTCTATCAAAATAAAAGTATACGCGGATCTCTATTTACCAAACATTCTCAAACAGTTAAACATAGTATACTAAATTTATGCTGTTATGTCAAATTAGTTTGGTGAATAATGTTCTCTTGATAATAAATTCAAGCAATCGTCAATAAATTCAAATACTTTTAGAATTTACCAAACATCAGATCAAAAGAGAAATTCAAGTTTGTCAGGGTCGTGTACTTAACAAATTTTTTCTATTAGAATTCGAATAATCAAACCAATTAACATTGGACGTAAAAACCAAACAGCATATGAAATCATTATTTTAAAACAGAAATCCCTTTTAACCAAACTAGTGATTCATTAAACCATGTTACACCAATAATTTATCGAACCAGAATAAAGCATCAATTTATCTGATTAAACAAGTGATTATCTTTGACAAAAAAAAAACAAATGTTTATCTATACCAATTCAAACCGATGCTCTTCTAAACTAACCAATTTAGCATGATAATATTGACCAAATGGATTTAATAAAACAAACAGACTTCGGTAGCTCATATGTCCATGATTCAATAACAAAGCAATAAGACAATTTACTAAACCAACCCAAATAATTGATTCATTAAATCAAGCAATTCTCTAAACGCTAAACCAAACTAAACCATATATATAAAATATATGTGACAACAAATCGATCTCTTCTTCATAATAATTAGACGAACATATCAAACAATAAAGCATAATCGATTCAAAATGTCTAACTGATTACTCAGAATAATATTTAAAATAGGGTTTGATCTATATATATGATAAGGAAACAATCAAATTAACAACCAAAAATTTTAGATTAGATTCTAGTTATGATAAACTCATAAAACCCTAATTAATTCATATAACAAATTAAAATCGTTTTTGGTTTATAAAACAAGAACTCGTATGAATTTTAACAAGACTCAACCAATCAGTAATCATTATTCTACCATACATACTCATCATGATTTGATTTTAATTTTCGGTTATGGTGGTATTATAATATGCAAAGACTAATTTATATAATACTATAATTGAATTTCCATGTTATATGTATTTATGCATAATTTAAACAACAATAAAGAGTATTACGATGTGTGGTGTATCGATCATATGAGGTGTGCATATAACTTAATATAATACGAAGCATGAAAAAGCTAAAGCATATGAGAATAATGTGATTTCACTTAAAACCCTAATTAATTTTGGAAACATTTGCTTTATAAATCAAAATCTCACAATCGATTTATTCTTAATAAAAACTCTTTAAACAATAAAATATAAAGATCAGACAATCGATTATTCTAGATAAATATTGATTACCATCCCTTTTATAAAATATAATCGGATGAGACATAGTCTACCATATGATTATATAATCGAGGAGGCATGGTCTACCATGACGATTGATTTGGGAAAAATATGACTTATCATCCCGGAATATTATAAACATAGACAGAAAAATTAAATCTCATATTTTTTGGTGGAAGAACAAAAAGAAATTGTCCTTATTGTGAATAAACAAGAGAGAAAAAGAAGAGAAGAATTGTTGTGTCTTATTCTAATAATAATGAGAGGTATATATATTTAAAACTTAGAGAATAAGGAAATATAGAATATTCTAAATCTCTTTACGATATGGGCCTTATATTGGACATCCATATTATTTAGAGAAAATTTGAGTTTATATTTTGAAAACTACACCATTTTTATTTTTTTTGAAAACTACACATATTGAAAAAAAAAATGAATAACTTAACCTAAATAAGAATTATATTAATTTTGATATTAAATCATAATTTTTACTTAAATAAAAATAAAATATATTTACAGATCTACAAAAAATAATATATAATTCATTTTTATTTTATTATTCTAATAATAAGTAATTAAAAAATATTCTAATAAAATATTGTTTTTAATTATGTTTATCGATACAAAAATTATTTCCTGCATTTTCAGTAGAAGCAACAAAAACTTATGTATACACATCTTGCTGCTTTTATATTGTCTACACCCGTTAAGTTATCTTCATCTTCACAACACAAGCTTCCCTTAGTTAGAATGATCAAATCTTAAATATTATTGAGACTTGAGATGTTGACTAGTTTGGGAGGGGAAAACCTACTAATTACCCACTAACTAGTGGAAGTTTTCTTAGATATAATGTTGATTCGAGTAGGCTTTCTCCAAAACATTTTTATTAAGGTGTTTACATGTAGAGTTAGTAAACATGGAGAAACACTTCCCTTCTATATTTACGCAACAATCAGTTTTGACTACAAACACTTCCCTTCTATCTAATTCTATCTAAGCACTAGTGGCAATATGATTCTTCTTGTATAAAGATAATTAATTAGTCAATAAAGTTATGGTAGTTTAAAAAAAAAAAAAACAAACTGAATTGTTCATGAAAGTGTTTAACTTGGGTCAGAAATGAAGGTGTTTAACATAACATCTTTATATAACACTAACAAAAATAATTTTCTTAAAATTTAAAATATTTGAAAGGTTATCAAATTTTATATTTTAAAATATTACATGATTATATATTTTTTATGTCAAACATAAAATAATCATAGAATTAATAATTTCGAATTTTTATCTTTATTTATTAAGATATGTAATTTCTAATTAATTTTGGTCAAAATATTTTTTTACATATCAAAAGTGCGGTTTAAAAATAAAAATAAAAAACAGTGTATTTTACTAATTCAAAAACTTAAATAGTGTATTTTGCAAATTATCCTATTATTTATTCATAACAGTTGATAAGTTTTATTATTTTATATTCTTTTACTATTTGATAAATAATGAAAATATTCTTATTCTGTCTTTTTGTATACCATTCACAAACATATTTAACTAAATTTTTATGTACAGTATATTACTTTCCTCACATATATTGTTGTGGCCAGCTTCTTCATTTTCCTTCCTTTTTCCTTGTTTGGGAAGCCATAACGATATTTCCATCATCTTTTTTTTGGTCAACACAAAATAATGTACATTTTAATTTCCATATTCACCAACTTAATTATCCTTGTTCGGGAGACCATAATAATATTTTTTCGCATCTTTTTTTTTGGTCAAAACAAAATAATGTACATGTTATTTTCCATATTACCTAATTAATCATGTTGTGGTTTTGAAGATTATATCACCAACTCAATTATCCTATAAATATAGATGCGTAGGTCCACACTTTGTGTCATTCATCACTCCTAACTTTTTTCATCAATCTCCCAATAAAGAAGGACCAATGTCGAAGTCAGAGAAGAAGATTGTGTTAAAGAGCTTAGATAACGAGGCATTTGAAGTTGAAAAAGCGGTGGCACTCCAGTCGCAGACCATATGGGTTATGGTCTGCGACTGGAATGCCATTGGTTCTTCAACCTCAAATGTCTCGTTATCTTTCTAATTTTTTACCACTTTTATTTTTTGTAATAAATTCGTAGGAAAATTGTAAGAAAAATTTCCTATCAAAATTTTCGTAAGAAAATTTTTAAAAATTCAGTATATTTTCTTGTAGTGTGAAGATAAATGTGTCGGCAACGAAATTCCTCTTGAAAACGTCACCGGCCAGATCCTCGCCAAAGTGATCGATTATTGCAAGAAACACGCCGTCGTCGATGGTGATGGTGATGAGTCTTCTGAGGAACTCAAGAACTGGGACACTGAGTTTACAAAAAATATGGATCAATCCACGCTCTTTAACATGATTTTGGCTGCTAATTATCTAAACATCAAAAGTCTTCTTAATCTCACTTGCCAGGCAGTTGCTGATAAAACCAAAACTATTGATGAGTTTCACACTTTTTTGAACATCGAGAACAATTTTACACCCGAGGAAGAAGCACAGATTTGCCAAGAAAACCTATGGGCTTTTGACGACTGATCATGTTGATCACTTTGAGAAGTTTCTTTTTAATTTGCCAAGTCATCCTTGCTTCTTTGTTTTGTAGATACAATAAAACCTCATTAACTGTTTTGGTCTACAGAATAATTCATGTCTTGTTTTTTTCTTCTACCAAAAAAAGTCTTTGTATTTTCTTTTATTTTAAGTAAAAGCTGTTTTAATTTATTTTCAAAAAAAAGTTTACACTAAGTCTCGTTAGCTCGATTGGTATAAGAGTCTTAGCCAAAGCATAAAAGTCATAAGGTCGAATAACACTTAAGATGAAACTAATATTACATTCTTGGTTCTCGGCTTAGGATTACATAATTTGACCCAAATCCTCCTACTAATTCAAAACCAAAAAAAAACAAAAAAGAGTTTACGTAAATATCTATATATATATATTATATAAAAAATATAATAATTTTTCTATAGGTTCTAACAATGTAATCTACCATTAAACTAATAATTTGGATATTAGGAACTTGATAAGTTTATCATGAGTCCAAATATGTAACACCCCGATCCTGGATTCCAAAGGAAACTAAATTAAACCAGTGGTATTAACTAAACCTAAACTAATAAATGCTGAATAATCTTTTATTCTTATTCCAAACCAACCCAAATCCAAGTCTTACAAATAAAAATGAAAATGAAGTAAATTAATGAAACCAAAATAAATAGAATATTATCTTAAAAAGAGATAAAATAGTTCTTAAAACAAATGAAAACTTCCTCCATCTCTGAAGGCACATCACACTAGAGCTACTCGTCTAGTTCTTCCCAGTCATTATCACAATCACACTCACACTCACCTGCAAACACGCCTGCATTCGGCACATCTCTACCTAAACAGATTATGATCTTATTATTCTAACAAGCACTAACTAATCAACAGGGTTATCAATCAATTATGTTGGTTCTTCCTCTAATAGGATCCTGATTCTTAATATTTATATAATTATACATGGATCTACCTAAATGCACAAGAAATCATCCTAGTCTCATCAGATTTAGTCTCAACACACCAGAAGAAGACAAATGAATAATAAGAAATCCTAGATCTAATCCTTTAATCATCACCTTAGCAACAAGCAGATCTGAGATTAGGGAGAGCTAGAAGAGGCAAGAGAGTCAAGGAACTTCTGAGAAGGAGGGGGCTGGCGAGCACTCCTTCTTCTCTCGGCAAGCGGTGGTGGCGGCGACGGCTTCCGATCCTTCGGTGGCGGCAGCTTCTCCTTCTTCATCTCTCTCTTTTCTTTGGTGGCTAGGATAATTAGAGACTAAATAAAGCTCATTAACTCCTAATTCTATTTATACTAGGGTTTTCGGAATGGGCTTGGGCTTCTTTTAAATGGGTTGGGTTAGGGATATTACAAAATATGTGATGCTTTTAACCATTTATTAAGCCTCACGTGTCATTGCTTTTAAATAACTTGGTTATCTTCATTTGATGAGAACAAAATTGAGCCGAACCATGCATAACAAAGTAGCTAATGAAATAGAAGCGTTATGGAAATGATAACTTTTCCACAGGTTATGGAAATGTAAACCACTATGACCTAATGATAAAGAATATATTTTCACAAATTAGCAAGTAATTCAAGTTTCATTACTTTTTTAGTATTTTAGGTTTTTTTATTATCTGACAAATGATGAAAATATTCTCATTCTGTTTTTCTGTGCACGTTCATAACCATATACGTTTTACCGTTCAAAACAAAATTGTTATGTACGGTATATAAAGTGTTTACTTTCTAATAGCACTTTCAAAAGATGCTAAAAAATTATTAAATTTGAATAAGTGCAGAGTGTTAATATATGTGCAATGCTCTCATGATAAATTGAAAGAGGATGCCATGAAAATTGGATATCAAAATTTGATAGGTTTCGTGTTTACATCCTCAGTCAAATTCTCTGACACTTTCAACCATTTATTGGGCTCACATGCCATAGCTTTTGAACCAGTTGAGTTCCTTGATCGGACGAAGACAAAAGTTGAGTCTAACCATGTGAAATATCCCACAAGCTTCGTAAGTTATAAACCCATCATTAAAACCAAAAAGTTATACACCCATGATTCATTATTAGAAGCTAACATAGTTAAGTGAATATATAGAAGATAAAATATATTTGTTTTATTATACTAGGTTTAAAGAATTTGTTTTGCATCGAACGATAGAAAAAATAGCTATAAAATGATGAAACCAATATTATAGAGCATCAGAAGCTTGCAAGCATCTATAAAATGCTTCTCAAGTATGATATATATATATATATATATATATAAATATATATAATAACTTTTTCTGCGAGACATTGGTGTTTAGTTGTTTGAACAGATTTGATTTTGGTAATTTGTCAAATTTAAATTCCTTAAATCCACTTCAAACTTAGTAAACTTATTTGTTTGAGAGGATGAAACGGTACATATGATGGTCAGTGCTGTGCTCAGAGTTATAAGAGTTTAAGGCGATTATTAGAAATTCGATCTAGCAAAAAAAAAAAAAAATTTAAAACACCAAAACTATTATTATTCTATTGGTGTTTAAGTAATAGATTTTTTTCAAAAATATTAAAAATATATCTTATAATTTGATCATAAATGCATCTTTTTATGATTAGCATTTATATATAATTCTAAACAAATAGTAATTTAATAAACTATTTTTTTAAGTTTACAATTTATCACCATTAAACAATAAAAATAGATAAAAAAACTTAAAACTCTATCTATTTGAAACATTTTTTTCTTAATTATTTATTTATTTGAAATAGTGGGAATATAAAATATCTCTTACCAATTATTATTTAGGAAAAAAAATCTTACACTCATTAAATTGTAAATAATATTTTAATCAATATATTGTTGAAAGTTTAGGTTTTGGGGGCCCTATATTTATAAAAAAAAATTAGGAGCTTCAGGCAAATGCCTTTTTCCTAACAAGCTAAGCACGGTTCTGATGATGGTGTGAATGAGATGGCTTAATAAAAGTTGAATGAAAGCTTTCATTTTTATAGTAAAAGCCTGCAAGAATGAACATTAAAAAGCAATGAAATGCACTATTATTTATACTGAAAATGCAAAAGAAAGTGTTTTTATTTTCTATGATTTAAATCGAAATGCACAATCATTAAGACATTCGTGTTTTTATTTTCTATGATTTATATCGTTAGGCTATGTACAGTAGTTTTTTTTTTTATGAACACATATTTTATACCACATCATCTCTTCTCTCTTCCACATTATCTCCTCTCTCTTCCATCTATTAATTCAATACTCACTCAATTTTCATTATTTACAATAGTTTTGTGTAATAAAATTCAACACTTTACTCCACCATTTTTATTTCATATATTTTTTTTTTGTAATACCATATTATTAATATCAATTATTCTTTGAAATTAAGTTAAAATAAATAGAAGTTAAATAATTATTGGGATTTGGATTGTCAAAAGAGTAATTAGAAGAATTTAGGATGTTAAAAGAGTTATTGTTGGAATCCATGTCATTAAAGGTAGAACAAAAGTTAATTAGAGGCTAATAGGAAAATGATAGTAAAAAAAAATGATTTTTTTTTTCTGTGTGCAAATCAAATAAAACTAGTGTCTATTTATACAATATAAAAATGATGAATTTTGGTATAAAATTTATATATATATATATATAATTACGAAATACTTGATGTTGAATAATTAAGATAAAATAAAAAATCAGAAATCAAAACATCTAATTAATATTCTCCACATGTCATCAATTATGACTCACATATCAATATTTTCGCTGTTGAAGTTTTTTAACTCTATTTTTGCTACATCACTTCCTTTTTTGTTTACAACATCTATTGCAACACTAAAAATAATATCAACTACTGTAAAAATATCAACTATTGTAAACATATCAACTATTGTAAACTTTTTTACAAGAGACCATTGTAAGTAATCTTCGCTTCTAAGGTTTTTAATTTGTTTAGCTGAATATGTAAAAAAAAAAAATTATTTGATGCATTGAAGTATGTTGGGTTTAAAATATGATAGTGCTAAGAAAATGTTATAAATATTATAAATTATAATATATAAAGTGAAATGTATTATGTATATATATATATGTAAATGGAGAGGGACCAGAGAAGATGAGAAAGTGGGGGCTAGAGAGACTTCACATCTTCACATATATATATAACAAAAACAAATACATAAAATAACAATGACCCACTCAGTAAAACTTGGAAATAATTATCTTTTTCAACAAGAAAAAAGAAAGTGAAAGTGCTGTAGTATTCTTTTGGTTTTTTTTATTTTTCTTCAATTTCCCCACGTGGGAAATGAACCTGAACCAAAACCGGAGATAACCAAAACTTATTATTGTCTGATTTCAGATTTTCGGGTTTGGTTCTGGTCGTATGGGTTAGCGTTATTGGTAGGTGGAGGAGGATTTGCGTTACCGCCTCCAGTTGCAGGGGGAAGAAGAAGACGACCACAAATACAAAGGCCATATAAATTGAAGCAAGCCACCAACCCCCAAAATTTGTTTCCACCAACTCCATTTTCTCCCTCTTTTAAACCTTTTCTCAATCCTCTTTCTTTCTTTTGCTTTCCAAATCCTCTCCTCTGATCATGGCGTCTTCTCTCACTTCCAAATCCATTCTCGGATCCACCAAACCCGGTTCCTCTTCTCTTCCGTCGGAGCTCCGTCGTCTCTCGTCTCCCTCCGTTCAGATCTCAATCCGAACCCAATCCAGGAAGACCCTCCGTGAGTTTTTTTCTCGATTTTCTTATATCTCCGAATGCGTCCGATTAAATTTTGGAGAATTCAGATTCAAAGGCTTCAAATTTTAATTTTGACTGTGTGTTGGAGTTACCGGTTAAAGCTTTGCACACTGGTTTTAGAGATTGAATTGATTGACATTTCTTTAACACGAAAATGGGATGTGGAAAGTAGAAAGCTTTACGAGTTTTGGGTTTCTGGGTTTCCTCCAAATTCGCAGGGATACAAGCTACTGGAAGCTCATATGGGTCTCATTTTCGAGTTACTACCTTCGGAGAATCACATGGAGGAGGAGTTGGTTGTACAATCGATGGTTGTCCTCCTCGGATTCCACTCTCTGAATCTGATTTGCAATACGATCTTGATAGGAGGTATTCTAAGGAAGAAAGCTCTTATAAACCTTTCTTTATTCGCTTTTGTATTTCTGAAAAAATGATCCCTTTGATGTTGATTTGCTTTATCAGGAGACCAGGTCAGAGCCGGATCACGACTCCTAGAAAAGAGACTGATACTTGCCGGATATTATCTGGAGTCTCCGAAGGTTTGGTTATATGTTTTTCAGAGATTGAGTTGATTCTGTTCACTCCCTTGTTCTAACTTTTGACATCCATATAAATGCAGGAATGACCACAGGAACACCTGTCCATGTGTTTGTGCCAAACACAGATCAGAGAGGACTTGTAAGTTTTTGACACTTCTATGCATATAAATGTACTCAATGATGCTACATAGACTATTGCTAATGGCATTAGAGAGGAAAATAGTTTTTTAGTTATGTTAGTGCCTAAAGTAGGATCAAATAGAAATCTTGGAGGTTTTATTTAGACTCTAATCTCTGAGAGACTCAATTGATTTTCAGGATTACAGTGAAATGTCGGTTGCCTATAGGCCATCTCATGCGGACGCAACTTATGACATGAAGTATGGTGTCAGATCAGTACAGGTAACACCTTACATTCTTTTGTTTAACTTATATAGCTTGAAGCCATCGTTCGGCTCTACTGACTAAAGTGTATTTTTTTTCAAGGGTGGTGGGAGATCTTCAGCAAGAGAGACCATAGGAAGAGTTGCTTCTGGAGCTTTGGCCAAGAAAATTTTGAAGCAATTTGCAGGAACTGAGGTGTGTTTACTTTCTGATTTTGCAAATAGCATTGCTCTTGAAAAATCAATCCACATTGAATTATTTATATTTCTTTTGACGTTTGGTTCGCTCTTTCATTTCTCTGTTTTATCTATCTTGGTATACCCTTGCAAAGAGGATGTCCCTTAGTAATTTAACTCATTAACACAAATTTATAGAGGTTCACGCAACTCATTTAAAATTTGCTTACCTTTGTGCCTGTTCTCTTTTGTGTCTCCAGATTCTTGCCTATGTCTCACAAGTCCACCAGGTTGTACTTCCAGAAGATTTGGTAGACCACGAGAGTTTGACACTTGAACAGGTGCACATCTACTTTGGAAGTATAGCCTACATTTTGTTTTATGAGTAAATTTGATACATTTACCAGGGGAAAACCCATTTTGGTAACCTGAGTCTTGCTGTGAATTTGTTGCTGACTTTCATCCACCATTATAATACTTTTCCTGATTACTTAGGTGTTGCCACTTCTTATTAAGGTTCATCTAGTAACATTCTTACCTCATTTTGTTCGTCTTTCAGATAGAAAGTAACATTGTCAGGTGCCCTAATCCCGAGTATGCGGAAAAGATGATAGCTGCGATTGATGCAGTCAGGACAAAAGGGAACTCTGTTGGTGGTGTTGTGACCTGCATCGTTCGTAATGCTCCACGTGTAAGAACTCACTATACCACCGAATTAGTTTAATCTGTGTTTCTTCCTGAAGTTTTGATTGCATGAACTTCAGTGAATGACTCTGGAAACTACTATGCGCAGGGGCTTGGTACACCGGTTTTTGATAAACTTGAAGCAGAGCTGGCAAAAGCTTGTATGTCGTTACCTGCAACAAAGGGCTTTGAGTTTGGAAGTGGATTCTCAGGTATATAATTGTTAAATTTTGCTTTTCTTTAACTTATCAAAAACCCTTCTTGAGCAGTAAAAATCATACGCGTCGAACCTCGCAGGTACCTTTCTGACTGGTCTTGAACACAATGATGAATTCTATACCGATGAAAATGGAAGAATACGTACAAAAACAAACCGATCCGGTGGAATCCAGGTTGGTTAAGCCTTGTGTATTAATATGTCAATAAAGTAGTTTTCTTCTCCTTAGAGATTGCTGATAATGGTCAATTTGGTAGGGAGGGATATCGAATGGTGAGATAATAAACATGAGAGTAGCCTTCAAGCCAACATCTACAATCGGAGTAAGTTTGTGATAATAAACCCTGCAGTTTCAATATGAACAAAAGAAAATGTTTGCTTCATTAATAAGTTCTCTTTACAATGCGCAGAGGAAGCAGATGACCGTAACCAGAGATAAGCAAGAAACTGAAATGATTGCACGTGGACGTCATGATCCTTGTGTTGTTCCACGAGGTTATTATATAAACAACGAAACCACTGAAATGATTTTACTTTTACTACTTGCGATTTTGATTTTGGTTTTTATGGGTTTTTGTTGCAGCTGTGCCAATGGTGGAAGCAATGGTGGCTTTAGTTCTTGTGGATCAGTTGATGGCGCAATACGCACAATGCCATTTGTTCCCAATAAATCCAGAGTTGCAGGAACCTCTTTCGACAGCTTCTCCTGTCGAGCTAGAGCAGCCGCAAAATGCTGCTGCTTTGTAAAATCTCGAGAAGATAGAAGCGAGACAGAGAAAGGCTTGGCTTTTGTTGTGTGATTATTATGAATAAAAATTCCCGTTAATTTTGTACCCCGGAGAGAAAAAACATTAATTTTTCATAAGATGATTTACTTCTGTATCGGGCGTTTTAATTCAGTTATATGTGATTTTACCACGGAACGTAAACTATTTTAAATAGTTTTTGAAAGATAATCGGAGATGAACTGTAATCGAAACACTTCCAACCAGCGTCATACTCTTTAAAAGCTTCAAACTTATTAGAATAAACACTCCCACAGATTTAACAGATATAGGAAGAAAAATGTATCCTGCCCTCACCAAGATGGCATCATGTTTTTTGCAGGTACAAGTCTTTCAAATTTCTATCTTCTAAGCTCCTGCATATAAGCTCCATCATGAACTGATTTTCTGTGTACCACTGAAGAGAACATGACCCATAACCACAGAATGTGAAAAACCCGTAACTTTCTACCCGTCTCAAACATCTTCAACTACAACAACTCATTTAGGTGTACGATTTCAGAAGTAATAGCTGAGCAGACAGGAGATGTTTTTACCTCATCTTCCACAAGAACAAAGTCGCAAGTAGCAAAAGGCAGAACCTTTACCAACAAACAAAGCACATATAAACGCAGAGACAAATAAGGACAAAGGGCCAATGGCAGTCCAATATAGAGAAATACGATATGTCTTAGAACAAAAAGAGAAAAGGAAGCCATCATAGTTCATCAATTATTTAACTGGAGGCTTTAGAAGCCCCCAAAACACAAACAACGAGAAGTTTTAGAAACACGAAACGACTTTTGAAAACATGATAAAGTAACCAGGCGCAAGTTTTTAGAAACCACCACGAAGACGGAGAACCAAGTGAAGGGTCGACTCCTTCTGAATGTTGTAATCAGCAAGTGTGCGACCATCCTCAAGCTGCTTTCCAGCGAAGATGAGACGCTGCTGGTCCGGAGGGATGCCTTCCTTGTCTTGGATCTTGGCCTTGACGTTGTCAATGGTGTCAGAGCTCTCCACCTCGAGGGTAATTGTCTTTCCGGTGAGTGTCTTCACAAAGATCTGCATACCACCACGCAGACGCAGAACCAAGTGAAGGGTCGATTCCTTCTGAATGTTGTAATCCGCCAAGGTACGACCATCCTCGAGCTGCTTTCCAGCGAAGATGAGACGTTGCTGGTCCGGAGGGATGCCTTCTTTGTCCTGGATCTTAGCCTTGACATTGTCAATGGTGTCGGAGCTCTCGACTTCAAGAGTAATCGTCTTGCCTGTAAGGGTCTTCACGAATATCTGCATGCCACCACGCAGACGCAACACCAAATGAAGGGTCGACTCCTTCTGAATATTGTAATCTGCCAAGGTACGACCATCCTCAAGCTGCTTTCCGGCGAAGATCAACCTCTGCTGGTCCGGAGGGATGCCTTCCTTATCCTGAATCTTGGCCTTGACGTTGTCAATGGTGTCAGAGCTTTCAACCTCGAGGGTAATTGTCTTGCCGGTAAGAGTCTTCACGAAGATCTGCATACCACCACGGAGACGAAGAACCAAGTGAAGGGTCGACTCTTTCTGAATGTTGTAATCAGCTAGTGTACGACCATCCTCGAGCTGCTTTCCGGCAAAGATCAACCTTTGCTGGTCCGGTGGGATTCCCTCCTTGTCCTGGATCTTAGCCTTAACGTTGTCAATAGTGTCCGAACTCTCGACCTCCAAAGTGATGGTTTTTCCAGTCAAAGTTTTAACGAAGATCTGCATACCACCACGGAGCCTGAGGACTAGATGAAGGGTCGACTCCTTCTGTATGTTGTAGTCAGCGAGAGTTCTACCGTCCTCGAGCTGCTTTCCGGCAAAGATCAACCTTTGCTGGTCCGGTGGGATTCCCTCCTTGTCTTGGATCTTAGCCTTGACATTGTCGATGGTATCAGAACTCTCCACCTCGAGTGTGATCGTCTTTCCCGTTAGGGTTTTGACGAAGATCTGCATACCACCACGGAGCCTGAGGACCAAGTGGAGGGTGGATTCCTTCTGGATGTTGTAATCGGCCAAGGTCCGGCCATCTTCCAGCTGCTTTCCGGCGAAGATAAGCCTTTGCTGATCCGGTGGGATTCCCTCCTTATCCTGAATCTTTGCTTTAACGTTATCGATCGTGTCGGAGCTTTCCACCTCAAGGGTGATAGTCTTTCCGGTGAGAGTCTTAACGAAGATCTGCATCTGTGATTCACAAAGAAAAGCTCTCAATTTAAGAAGAAACTCGGATCAACGAAATCGCTTCGATATACTAAATTCCGATCGCACAAACACGAATCAGATCCGATCAAAGATACTGATCACGGATCTGGTTCGAAATCAAAATCACTGATCGACGCTTAACAACGCAGATCTAGAAATGATACCACAATCGAAAATCTAGATCAATTGCGAAACTCAATCAAATTAAAAGAATAAAGAATCAATTCAACTAAATCGAAGAAAAACCCTAATAAGAAATCAGAAATCTACCTTTATAATAATAATTCGCGATTAAGAGAGGATTAAGAAATTAATTTTAGGTTTCGGAATCAGAATCACAGATCGAGGCTTAACAACACAGATCTAGAATAATACGAATCCCAATCGAAAATCTAGATCAATTAGGAATAGAGAATCAATTGCGAACCTCAATCAAATTCAAAGAATATGTAATCAATAGCGATCGAACCAAACAACTAGATCAAAGAAAACTCTAATAAGAAATCAGAAATCTACCTTGATGATAACTCGCGATTACGAGAGGATTGAGAAGTTGATTTTAAGTTTCGGAAACTGAATTGTGAATTGTGAAGGAGAAGAGGGCTTAGGGCTTACTTTATATGCGAGAGGATGAGGCCGACTCGGTCACGAGGAAAGTAAGGCGGTGAAGCCACAAACAATCAAACGTTGACACGTGTGTAAGATGAGTTGTGAATTAGGGTCCTACTTTTATCAAAGCCATATCTCGTCTCTTCTAGTTCTAGAACTCGTGTTTTGTTTTCTTTACCCTTTTTTTTTTTTTTCGTCTTTGTATTAATTTAAAGCTTAAAAGCCATTACATGCATGTTCGATTACAAATCCAACAATAAATTTGGCCCAAGTAACTCAAATTGTTACAAACCACAAAAAGATAAGATAAGTGATAATGCATGATGGCCACGTGTGATACACGTGCGGATCAAAAAAATTGAAGAGTAGTCACTGCAAACTCGCCGGCGAAAATAACAGATCAAAATTCCGGTGAAACGCCAATCAGTTGTTTATCGAAAACGCCATCCTCCAAAGAGCAGATCCAATCCAGATTCAAGCAGAGAAACTTCACACCACCATAGAATTTTACTGTCGATCATCAAATACACATGACCAAACACCCAACACCTTGAAAGGCTTCATTAAAGGGTTGAAAGGAGACATAACTCCTGGTTAGGTAGGGTGATGCTACCATTAGAAGTAGAAGATTCTACTCTCTGTCATCGGATCTTGGCCTCGCCACTGCTTCATGAAGAAAAGATGAATGGCCAGCTCTAATAGAGGAAAGAGAAAGACAAAAACAAAGTCCGAACTTGAAAAACCTTTTGCTTGATCTTATATATGAAGAATTACTCTTAGCAAGCAAAGGAAATTCAAAACAAACAACAAAAGATCCGGTCTTTGCCGGAAAACCAAATCCGTTAAACGGAAATTATTGATCTGATATTAATCGGAATATACATCAAAGGAGAAAAAGCACTCTCTCTCTCTGAAAGATGGATATGAGAGAAGAGAGAGAGGCGTTTTCTTTACCCTTTTTAACATATTTTCTTGCAAATTAAGTTAATTAACATATTTTCTTTGTAAATCTTTTTTGTAGAAAATAAATCTTTTGACCCAAAAAGGAAAAATGCCGGAAAAAAAAACCCAAAATAAAACAAAACTGTGAAATAAAACAATCATTTTAACTTAGAAGAAATTATTGGAAAATTACTTTAAGAAGATTTTTAGAGTTTAAATTTTAATTATTAGTTTATAGATTTTTAATTTTTTACATTATTAATAAATTCTATTATAATATTTTTTAAAAATCTATTGTTATTGGTTTGATGATATTCTGTTAAAATCTAGTGTTATTGGGATAAAAATTCTTTGTAATTTAACTCATAAATCATTCATAAATCATGATTTTCAAAATATAGTAAAATTTCTATAAATTAATATTCGATAAATTAATAATCACTATAACACTGATAAAACCTCTCTCTCTTCTCTCACACTTATCTTTCAGAGAGAGAGGGACGATTTCCGATCTTAATATGAGATTGGAATTTCACCGGATTCGTTTGGTTTTTTTATGTATATATTCCGACTTGATCGGATTCTCTTCCGTTATCTTCGAAAAATAAATTTTGACTTTGATCGGATCGTTTTATTTTCAGATCCAAATTATGTTTCTTTCTTTCATAATCTTTGATTTTGGATCTGATTTTCTAAAAATCAACCTCGCTCATGATGTTGATGGTGTTCATAGTCGGATTAATTTCCGTTTTTCTTTTAAGTTTCTTCAGGTTCTCCAATTCTCAGTGGAGTAATTTCTTCGTCATTTCCAATCGCTCAATCATGGAGCAATGGAATCAGGTTAGGCCGGTGATGGAGCTTCCACGGTGTTGGTTAACTTCGGCGAAGCTTAGAAGCAGAGGAGATTGGTGATTTGCGGTTACTCTTTCCGACATATATGGAGTGTGGGTTTGATGAATAGCAAACAGTGGTACTAGAACAAGCATCGTGAAAGTTTCTGCATAAAGTTCCGACGGAGAAGAGAGTCGACGGCGATGCATGACGATGAGCTTCTCACTATGACACGTGTTTTTATTTAGTTTAGAGTGCTCCACGTGTTTGTATGCGTGTCTAATATTGTAACGTCTGGGCCCTTAGTAGGCCTTATCTTGTACCATTGTTCTAGCCCTGGGCTTTCGTTATAAAACGATTGACACGAAAAAAAAAAAAATTAATAATTACTATAAAATAATAAATTTTGCTGGTTTCAAGTTGGGACAATGTAAAAATTCATCAAATTCGATAAGATAATAAGATAATATATTTTTTTGAAACTCTAATGTAAATATATGGTCCCAACAAAAATATAAATTAATAATTATATAAATTTATACAAATATATATATATACATATATAATATTCTAATATATGCGTAATGTGTTTTTTTTAACTTAAAAATAAAATTTTATTGGGTCTCACCTCTCTAATTATTATATGAGTAGCTTTTATTGTTATTTTACGATATGCATTTTAATTTATGATGATTAATTTATGTGATAATTCATTTTTTATCTATAAATATTTCTAAATGTAGTGTAGCATTATCTTTAATTTAATCATCAATAATATGGATAATAGCCATGATTTTATTTATAAATTTTAAATTTATGAACATGTATATTTTTACATGGATAATTTATTAAAAACTATATAGTTATGATTATAAATCATAAGTTGTATTAAGAGATTTGTTTAAATTTTTGGATATAACATTATTGGAATAATTTTAGAAAATTATAAATAGAATGCAAATTTTTTTTATAAATTAATATCACTATAAATTAATAAAATACTATGGATCCGACATTATTAATTTATACAAGTTTTACTGTACGGTATATTTTTGAATTTTCAAAATCTGTCATATTAAAAATATTTTATGAATTGTATAAATACACAAAACTCTCTATAAATTTTACAAATCCAACAAAATTTCTGAAAATTTAACAAATTTAATAATTTTTAAAATCAATCAAAATTTTTATAAATTTATCTTCCAATAACCTCTATTATTTTTTTAGGCAATTAATCCATGTTTTAGGATTTTTACTGCTATTTGATATTTTGCATGATTTGCATCGAGTAATGATTTTTGTGTCAAGTTGGTAAATGAATAACGGAAGATTCCATGTCCATCTTTTTGTATGATAATCGTCATTTAACTGGTTTTTGCAAGACATTTTGAATCTGTAATCGAAACACTCTTTCTATTACATACTGTACATTGTTAACTTTAACCCAAATAAAAAAATAAAATAAAAACATACATTGATATATGCAAATACATACAAACATACGTAACTAATTACACAATATCTCAACTAATTACACAAACATACGAGATATTCATCGTATGTTTTACTTGGTTTTCTTGCTATCATCTTTGTTCTGTTCGAGAACCACAGGAGCAGCCGGAATGCTGAACCACCACTCTCTAAGCCGCCGCATCAGCCGCTCCGTGCTTGCTCTACGCAGCGGCGAATATCTCGTGAACAACTCAAGAAACACCACCAGGATCAATATGTTCCAAGGAACTACCATCAGCATCAACGCAGCGATCACAACCGCAACCGCAAACTTCTCACTCGCCTGTTTTTTTTTTGGTTTTTAAAACCATTAGTAAGCGGTTGCAAAAACGCTAAAACGAGAGGAGAATTTTAGAGATAAAGAGAGAGACCTGTGGGAAAAGGGCGAGTAATAACGCTCGGAACTTGAGGAGAACAATGTTTGCGTCTTGAATGAACTGTTCAAACTGCGAAATCGCGTTTTGGACCGCTAAAAGCTGTTCCATTGTGTTCATAGGAGGAGGCGCGGTAACTTTCAGCTCAATCATTACTTTCTCTCTATTGCTGAAACATCTCGTGATAACTATGAAACCAGATATAAAGATAAAGGCAGAGGCTGATACATAGCCAATCCATCCCCTAAACAAAACCGGTTTCAAAACCGCAAAAGAAAAGATTTCAGAGAACTGTAACTAACAAGCAAAACACACGCATAAAGATTCTAAGTATGTTACCTGTAAATTATGAAAGTGGACAAGAGACAGAACCCAAAAGACTTCAAAGGATCGTCCCAATACGCTAACGACAAAAGCCAGTTCCAAATTTCCATAGCCGGAAGTAGCAGTTCCTGCAACAAAGCCAGTCTAAAAATCTCTTGAAGATATGCAAAGTGTAAGAATCGTGTGTGCGTGTGTATCTTTACCTTCATCACAGCTAAATTGGTGTCGATTCCATCAACTTTAACTCCATTTACAGTCTCTTGCGCAAGAACCACTTTCTCATAGTTCTTTCTTGATTGCTTAACAGCTCTTTCCAATGGATTCACATCTCCAACCACTACTTCACCTACCACAAGACTACTACTACTACTACCCCTTGGACTTGATCCAAACATTAAACCCAATTGGGAAACCATATCTGAGGCCGAGATCGAGTACAAAGACCCTGCTAAAAGAAGATTTATCAACATAGAATTTGTGTAATATCAGGAATATACAGTTTGCATAAGTATGTAATTAATGTTACCTTCTTTGGCTTTGTTTGTTCGGTCAAGCACTCTCGAACTCGACATCTCTGCAAGCGTCTCAAGAATATGATCCCCACCAGGAAGCTGATCACAGAGATTGAACGGGAGAAGATTCTCGTAACGCACAGGGTTTGTTAAACCAAGTTCTTGAATGGCTTGCACACGTAAAATGCCAAGTACAGCTTTTGAGATAGCTTCATCTTTCGCCACGCCGATGATGATCTTGAACTTATTTATGTATTTGTGAAGGTATAACACTTCTCGGATAATCGCGAGCCAGTAATCTCGTCGTGTGTGGCCTTTGAGTTCAGGGAACTCAATTACTACTGGTTCTGGTCTACAAAAAAAAAGAGCCATTAAAATATGTAACCAAGTCAGTCAGGTAAGAAACTGAAACAGGACAATGCTTTTTAATTGAAGTGATAAATCATTCCTTACAGGGAAATAGATTTGTAAGAGACAGCCTTATCGAAAAGCCGAGTGCCCCAAGGACCGGTTAACTCGGGTTTAATGACTTGTTTCAGATCTTCAGATAGGCTATAGCGCTTTGGTGTGTCGAAAGACACAACCTTTATAGCCTCAAAATAGAGAGAACGATCAGTCAGAATCAAGCGGCCTGCATTTAACAATATTCAATTTAATCAACCGAGTAGAGAGGAATTTATCAGATCACCTTGTGCTACCCAGAATAAAACATACCTGGCCATGTAGATATTCCAATATGTTCAAGAACTGGTTGTGTAGTAACAGTCCCGTCGATCTCAAGAATCTTTTCTCCTTTTGATCGAACACCAGAGAGCAGAGATGACTCGGACTGGCTCTTCATCTTCTTTATTGCTCTAGAAAGTGATCCAGGATAGATAAACTTCAGATTTTCACTGAGTTTATTTCTGAAGAATGATTCTAAGGACGAAAGCTTTTACCTTTCAAGTCCATACAAATACTTGTCATAAACATAGAAATGAAGCCGAACACCGTTTGATGAAGAAGTCAGCATCCCGAACAAATTTTCACATATGATCACATCAGCTATTATCGGAACCGCTGGAGCAATCCGAGAGAAGGCTTCTAAACCGACGGTTGGATCTTCATCAACCTGCTTCCATATTTGGACAACAAGAGGATCAGTTCTTTAACTCAATGGACCATAGAAGTAGAAATCAAAGTGCTTACACTGAGTAAAGTTTGGCTAGCAGCAGAAGGGACCTCCCAAGCAACCATCATGTCAAATGTTAAACGCCGAAACGTTTTATCGCTTAGATGACCTGTTACTCCCACAGAGAGTGCAAGTGCCCTGAAACAGCAGTACTCTAGAAAGTTCCTTGCAAACATTGAAGGCTGCTTTACAGATTCAGAAGCCTCTTGTTTGAAACTAACTTGTAGCTCGCTTACTGAAACACCAAGTATTCTGCACCAAAGTTTCCCATTACTATATAGAACCAAATATAAAAGCGAGTTCTTTTTCTAAATTAATATCCAAATCCATTCTACCGCATATCACAAGCTAGCTTATCATCAAAACTTAAACTTTTTTCATACAGAACTAAACCCTTTAAATCCAATTAATCGTATAGATTGAAAACAACCCTTTAAATCCAATTAATAGTATAGATTGAAACAACTAACTTAGGGATTCTTACTTTGAACATCTGCGGATAACCACATTTGCCACTGGAGAAAGCTCAGGTATCCAATTCGCTCCAGCAGAAGTAGAATTCTCCATCTCATCGATCTCTTCATCGAAAGAAGTTTGCTTCCCAAGCAACCATTTTAACGAACTATCTTTAACCAGACCTTCTAGCACATCCATGGTTTTGCTCGACATACTAGTAGATTCTCTCACCTGGTTTCTCTTAGCAGCTACAATCGGCAAAAACATTTCAAACAATTAGGCACGAATGACGGAAGTTACAAAACTCAATTCCTTAAATTCAAACTACATAGACTATTCTGATAATTCATTGATCAAAAATCTAACCTTTAAAGAAAGTTTCAACACAGAGATTATTAGTCAGCTAAGATCAAGAGAAAAAGAAAGAAGAAGAATAAGCAGTGAGAGTGAATCATATGTGAGAGTGACTAATTCGTGAACAATCTTAGTTGGTTTTACGGAACTTTTCTGAATCAGAATCCGAAATTACGGAGGAGTCGATGTTTTCTCAACGAACCCACCTAGAAATTAGCTAACTTTAGGTTGTTCTCCAACAATTAATACACGCTTCGTTTCTCCAACTATTTAATCGAATTTAGGGTTTTAAGCTCTTGCTCCTCGAGATTCTGCCTTCATTTGGGGTTTATCGAAAAAGTGACACAACAGGAGAAGCGGAGAAAGTGAGACGGTAAGGATCTCCGATTCGGTTGTCGTCTTTGTTGGTCTATTCAAGGAAAATGATAAGATACACGACGAGTAACACGTCAGCATCACGTGGCTCCATTAAATTAGGACACTTCAGCTAAATTGTACGGCTCAGATTTTATCAAACTGCTTTAACTTAGTTACAATCGTGTCCGTACACGTGTCACATTATTAATTTCTGACCGCTAGATCATCCTTTATAAGGTCTCTTTACCCTCTTCCTCGCTGCTCTAGGGTTTTTAGTTTTTATTTTAGCGGATTAGCTTCAGTATCCTCCATTGGCTTCTGCCTCAGGTGCGTTTTATTCGGACGAATTATTCTGCTCATCTCCGATCTCTTCTTCTATTATTTTCAATCGGATCTTTGTTTCCCGGGAAAAATCATGTATTGTATTCTCGACGGGTTTGTTTGTTTGTAATCGACTACTTGTGTTTCGCCGTAAATTCATTGTTTAATTGTTGAATTGATCGGTAAATATAGGATGAATTTAGTATTTGTTTACCTCTAGCTTCTTTGGTTATGGTGTTAATGATAGTGTTGTATGTTTTGAAATTGAACCTCTGCTTAGCAGTGTTTACTTGTTCTTGATCAATGGCTACATTAACTCTTTTTTTTTCTGTGTTGAGACTAAAGGGCATTGTTGTTTCATATTGAAATGTTATTTCTTTTTTGATCCTCAGAACTCTTATTGAAGGTTTTAGGGAGTTTGCATTTGAGTGGAAAGATGTTTTCTGCACAGCACAAAATTCACAAGGATAAGGGAGTGGAACTTTCTGAGTTGGATGAGCAAGTTGCTCAGGTTTGATCTTTATATACTTAAATTCTCTGCTTAAGGTTTCGGCTTTCCCTTAGAAATGGTGAAAGCATAGAGTTCCTGATGTCTCTGTTGACTTTCTTAGGCTTTCTTTGATTTGGAGAACACCAACCAAGAGTTGAAAAGTGAATTGAAGGATTTATACGTCAACTCAGCTGTGTGAGTGGATTTTCTTTTTTTGTTTGTTTATGATTGGATGGTTTTACTCTAGGAAACTGAAATATTCAATCTTTTTATTCTTTTTGTAGTCAAGTTGATGTATCTGGAGGACGCAAGGCACTTGTTATCAATGTACCTTACAGATTGAGAAACGCTTACCGAAAAATCCATGTTAGGCTCGTTCGTGAACTCGAGAAGAAGTTCAGCGGAAAGGTAATTCTTTATTACCGTTTCTCTTTTGCCAGTTAGTGTTTTGTTTTGTTTGAGTTGCTTGATTTGTCATGGTTTGTTTGAATGAATGATAAATGTAGCTCTAGATTGTCTGGTTATATTGAGAAAAAGAATCTCTCAGTCTTTCAGTGACTTGAGTTTAGCTGATTTGAGTCACTGTGAAGCCGCTTAGTTTCTTCATATGATCTTTTTACCTCTTCCCTATGCTTAGGATGTGATCCTCATTGCTACAAGGAGGATTGTGAGGCCACCAAAGAAGGGCTCAGCTGCAAAGAGACCACGCAACCGTACTCTGACATCAGTTCATGAAGCCATACTTGATGATGTGGTCTTACCCGCTGAGATTGTTGGAAAGCGCACTAGGTACAGAATCGACGGAACCAAAATCATGAAGGTACGTAAAACCCATAAATGATATTGATCTTCCTGTTTTCGCAATTATCTTCTTAACTTTTCTTATAAACGGGAATGGAATGTGTTTTGAAAGGTCTTCTTGGACCCAAAGGAAAAGAACAACACCGAGTACAAGCTTGAGGCTTTCTCTGCGGTTTACAAGAAGCTGACCGGCAAAGATGTCGTCTTTGAGTTTCCCATCACTGAGGCGTAAAAGTTGAAATGAAACTTAGAGAATCTTTTGTGATCTCAGATATTTAAAAGTCCTGTTTTTTGTTTATTTTTTGTTATGGGTTTTGGGTTTACTTCCAATGTGTCAAGACATTGATTTTACATCTGAAAATGTGTACGATCGTCAAATTTTGTTGGTATTTTTGAGTTTGCTTGGCAAAGGAAAGCAGCAGAAAGTAAATATTGACTTTAGAACTAAAGACCGAGTTTTGTAGGGCAAGAACCGGAGACGTAATTACAAGCTAATCCGAGAACAAGAACCACAAGTAATTTGACCTGTTACAGGCCCCAAATAAGAAAACAAAGTGGAGAATTTTCACATTATTTGTTCAAACACAAAGTACGGAAAGATCAAATAAACATTTGATGAACCTTTTGATTGGGCTTGCAAATCCTTATTGATTGTCTTCTAAAGCCCATAGTATTAGGCCCACCAAATTGATCCTCACTTTGATAGTCATTAAAACCAAAGTCCTCTATCAAATTAGATCACCAAACATGGACGTGATATGGCTCTTGAGATGTTTACCGGGGCGGGTAAATCCATCGTCCTTGTCGTAGGAAACATTAATCGCACGTAAAGTGTCGTGGAATAGCTTAAGAACCTCGTGTGGCACATTGATTGGCTTCAAAAACTCCTCATTCATCAACTTATCACCATCTGCAACCATTTGACGAAGCCCTCGAAAGGCTTCTTCTTCAGTAACTCCATATTGCTTCTTATAACAGTTGACCGAGTTCGTGACATATCCTCTGCTCATGTCATCCTGATCATGCAACGTACGTGTTAAGTTTGATGATCACCAAACAACAACGTATGTATGAAAAAATCAAATAAATAGTGGGAAAACTTATTAAACGTACCTCATATATAGCCAAACATATCATTCACCACTCGTGCTTTTATAGTCATTGCTTTAGCTAGTTTCTCTCTAGATTTCAACCAATCATAAGCTTCTTTCTTGCAAATATTGTGATCCATAGCCATCAAAATACCTGCCAAGGTAAAATATACAGCGATCTCTACTCCAGCAACATCTAGGTACTCATCAATGCTTGGCAAGTAACCCGCTCTTGCCCATTTCGCGAGTTGAAGGTTGGCTCTCACCAAATTTTTGCACTGTACTATTACAAATACAATTACTATCTTTTCCAAAAAAATCATTTAGTATCTGGTTATTATATAGTTTCATTGCTCACGTATTCAATTGTAGCTTCCAAGCTGTAAGATCCTCCTGATTCTGACTGCAATTGTCTTCCAAACTCTTGGAATGTATCAATTATAAATTTAGCCACATGTTTCAAATAATCTGGTAGTCCATCCATGGCATCATCATCGATATCCCACCTACATTAACAATATGTATATTTATTTTTTTCCCGGTATTTTGTTTATGTAAAATATCTTTTTATTTTCGACCCAAAAAGAAAATCTCTTTTTTTTTTCTAGAAACCAAATCTTTTTGATGTGGTAAGACAGAATTACACATTTCTTATATATCAATAATAGATTTAGGCTTCATTTTTATAAAGTACATTTTGCAGATAAGTTTTAAATTATTATGCAAATAATGTAATTTTTTTTATGAAAATAGGTAATGGAGCCTAAATTTATTTAAACTAACAAAATAGTTTATTTAACCAAATTGATATATTTTTCAATTTTTATAGATTCGGACTGTTTATAAATTAGAGTTTTATGAAATTAAATCGTCTGAATCGAAATTTTATTTATAAGTTTACCAGCAATTAAAACTTTATGTTTGTGTCCTAAAAGGATTCTAACATTTAGAATTTCGGAAACTCAATAACTTTTTTATCACGATGCAACTAATCTAAATAATATTTTAATTATTCCGGAGATGTTCTATGACTTACGAATGAATAGAGGAAAGTTTATGGCCATCAAAATAGAGACTTAAAATCTAGAGCTATATTGAATGATCTATTTTAAAGGCAGTTTTATCAAGAACATAATTTAGGGATAATTGGATATCTTGGACAACGCTGAATATGAAAACAGTCTCATATAAAGTTTTTTTTTTTAAATAAGTTTTAATTCATGGTCAACCTAAAGAACTTATTCATCTGCAGAAAGGAGTCGACCTATGTACTTTAATAATATATAACTAGGTAGAGTGAGATATCAATATTTTTTTAAAATATTCAAATTTAAAATAAAAATATAGACAATAAAAATTTAAAATTCAGAAACAAATATATTACATTGGTGTAAACTATTGATATATAGAAATAAAAACTATTTTCATAACAGTATAGAAATAAAATTGTAATATATAATGTTATATAGTGCATTTTGCTATTAGAATAATTAATTAATAATAACAATGATGAAAAAAAATTACGTATGAATAAGATATATTAGAGTTTAAGATTCTATGGTTATTGGTTGTGGATTTTTACATTCTTAATAGATTTCACTATTATTCGTAAAAAGATTATAACATTTTAAAAATACATTGTTATTGGTTTGATGATTATTATACTCTAATCAAAATTAATTGCTATTCAAAAAGTTTGTATTTTAATGATTCTATAATTCTATTAAAATATAGTGTTATTGGGATAAAGATTCTGTATAATTTAACTCATAAATCATGATTTTCAGAATATTGTATAAATCCCTTGGATTCTCAAAATCTGTCATAGTAATAATATTTTGTAAATTGTTTAAATCCCCAAAACTCTTGCAAATTTTACAAATCCAATAAAAACTCTTGAAGATTTGACTAAGCTCATGACTTTTAAAATTAACCAAAATCTTTATAAATCCAACTCCTAATAACCCTCTCTTAGCATAAATAATAGGAATGGTAAAACTAAATAAAACAAATAACTAACTTTTGAGTCGATTACAACTCTCGATTGTTAGACAAACAACAAATTGGTATTGTTTTGAAAGTCTTATAATATTTACCTTTAGTTTTCAAATATTCTTCAAAAGTTTTAAATAAGAGATTGAGTTGGAAACAAAAGAATTATGAGAAACAAAGATTATAATTAGGTCAAAAATGCTATTTAAAAAAATGATGAGTAATATGTTATGGAAAAAAATTTCTTATATAGAGGCTGATCATAGGGATTTTAAATTATGTTATATAGATTTTCAAAAAATTAATTTTTAAAATAATCAATAATAAACAGAAATAAATGCAAAACATGTTTGATAACTATATTAGGTAACAACCAATTTTTATCTGAATACTTTGTAACTGATGTTTTTGCAAATATAGGATTTTTATGTTTATCTTTAATAGTTTATTAAAATGGTTAAATTACAATGATTTTTATGAAAGTATAAAAATCAGATAATAATCGATAGAACTATTGAATGCATAGTTTTAGTTAAATATTTTTCACTCATAAACAAATATTTTTGTGTCATGCGCCGCGTGAAGTATCTATAAAATATTTTATGAAACATGATTTAAGTTATTGAAAATAGCAATAATTTAATTGATTTTATATGTATGTTAATAGTATTATGATGAGTAATAATATTATTTTATATTAGTATTATAATTAAAAATATATTATGATTATACGATTTTATTATAGTATTTCCTATTTTTTTAATATGAATGTAACTGTATAGTTAATAGTTTAACTGAAAAATTGATATATCTTATTAGATAAATATTTTAGTGAATTATTTTGTTTTGATTTTTTCAAAATTCTAATTATCGCATATACATAAAATATAAACTTATTATATGTTTGATATGATAATTAATTCAAAAAAGAAAAGTAAACAAAGAGAATATAATTTATATTATATAATTAAATAAGGATTGAATATAAATAATTAATATGATATAATTAAATCTCAAATCTTTTTCATTCTATTTAATCGGATAATAAATATGTTTAAAAAATTATTTACTAATTTTTGTGTGTCTAATTAAGGAAAGAACGATCATTTTTTTAATAATTACTTTTAATGATTAGTTTAATAAGATATATTTGATTTTTTAACCAAATTAATATAGATGACATTGATTGTAATTATTCTAATAACAAAAGTTTTTTTTCAAAAAAATCCTTTAACTCTCTGGAGATGACACCTAGCATATCACAATTGTAAATCACAACATAAAGATCTTTTTTAATGTGTCCTTGTAAAATAATAATAAAAGATATATAGATAGTGTGGGTCTGTTCGTTTGCTTGTCGCAGGAGGCTGCGACTGCGGCTTGCGTCCGATTGTTGTTCGTTACTCTGACGCAGCTTCCTGCGGCCAGACGCGGCGTCCAAACGCTGCGTTCCGCGTCTTTAATTTTTGGACGCTGATCAAATCCAGCGTTGCGACAAAAGACGCGGCGTTTAAAACTGTAAATTACAAAACTAACCCTATAACAATTTGTTAATTACAAAAAACATTTACCCTAAAAAAAGTGTCGATTTTTCTCTCTGCACCGAAACTCTTCTTCCCCATTCATCTTCTCCATCAGCTGAGCTTAAAAGTTTAATGGATCGGGAGCAGAAGCGGCTTTAAACCCACCTTCCAAACTCCATCAATCCTCTTCTCTCTTCCCAGATCGAATCTGTAAATATAAAACTTCACTTTTTTTCAATTTTCGTTATTTCCTTCTCCAATCTGTTACTTAATGGGTCTGTGTGTGTTTGTGTTTGGTACCATATTAGAGTGTTCAAGGGTCTAAGGCTGTTTTTGCATTTGATTATTCTTTCTCTTTGCTGTGACCTGATTAGTGAGCTCGCATTTAAGCTTTCTTTCTCCTTGCAACAATGGTAGATATTGTGCTGCATCATTCAGCGACCAGACGCGCAGCTGACAAACGAACAACAATCATCTGCGTCTGGTCGCAGTGTCTAGCCGCAGGTCGCAGCCGCGGCCACAGGCGGCTGACAAACGAACAGGGCCTGTATTAGTGTACCTTTCCATGGCATTGGCGAGGCTTTCGACCTCACGAAGAGAAGCATATCTGTCACACGTATCATCTAGAATGATTTGAATCGTGTACAACTTAGTCAGCATTATCCTCACACGTGAGTGTTTTGGCTCGGTGTAAGCCAGTGTAGCCAGGTTCAATTCCACAAATCTGTCTCTGTAGTAAGGTGGCAACTTAGAATCAAAGTCCTGTTCCTTGTACCATCTTGCAACCAAAAAATAGAATTATGTCAAGCTCCTAAAGGTAGATGTACTAGTACGTATATTATAGAGAAGAATAATTACATACTTTGAAAGCATTTTGAGTTCTTGAAGGTAATGTAGCTGTACGAAGTTGAAGTTAAGTTTGGCAAACTTTAGTACCGTCTTGTTGCAATCTTCTTCTTCTTCGTAGAACGAGATATATTCCTTTGCGACTAATATCTGCATGTTTTGATGCTGCGGTAGACTCAAAGGCTCAAAGCATATCGTATACGCCTTGAGAGATTAGGTGTGCATGTTCCACTTGCAGCTAACGAGTCCAAGTAACTCAATGTGAAGCTCAAGGCTTAATATGATTCTCCCTGAAATCGACACTCACTAAACTGGATCAAAAGGGGATAGCCTTGCACACAAACGAATTGTATCAAGGTTTGTGGGTTTAGATAAGACTCCAAGGGTTGCGAAAGACCCTTGATGAATGGTTTCCGAATCAACTAAGGATATTACACACCAAAGATGAATCGAAAGGCCTTGAAGGATATTACACACCAACAAGAGGGTTTGATCTTACATAGAAAAGATTTTGATTAAAAGATAAGATAGTCTCAAAAGAGAGTTTACAGGCGAATATAAAGAGAAGCACATATGAGTCTACAAAGCATTAAAGTGTCTAGGAACTAGTTCTTTGAAAGCTGGCCGAGTTTGAATTCGAACTCTTCTTCACACGCTCCTCTTCTTCTTCTTTGGACTCGGCTGATGGGCTTAGATGTGAGGTGATCCAAACTATGCCTCATTAAAAACCTATCTCAAAAAAACCCGTTGGGACAAAACTTGAGATAGGGAAAAAGAGTACATAGTTGGATCACAAGCCCATTAGCCTTCTCGGACTTGGATCACAACTAGTGTAGTTGTGCCCATCTCTTTTCCCTTTTGTTCCACAAGCGTTCCATGCTTAAGTATTTCCCCAACAGCTTCCTTGAGCCTCTTAGCCTTTGCTCGGGTCATGGGACCTTTTGTAATGAGCAAAGGGTCTTCTTGTTCCATTTCCTGAACCTTGTCTTTGCTCCTTAGCTCCATCATCCCCCTCTTGTCTTCTTGTTCCATTTCCTGAACCTTGTCTTAGCTCCTTTAGCCTCCATCATCCCCCTTCTTCTTGAAAAGGATTTGTCCTCAATCTGGATCATCTGCAATAAGGAATCAAGTCAGAAATATTGAAAGAAGAACTTATCTTGTACTTACCTTGTAGATCAAGTTGATAAGCGTTATCATTGATCTTTCTAACTATCTCAAAGGGTCCATCCACTCTCGGCATCAGCTTAGACTTTCTTTCTGCTGGAAATCTCTCCTTCCTTAGGTGCACCCAAACGAGATCTCCCTCTTCAAAGGTAAGCTTGCGTCGGCTTTTGTTAGTGTGCTTGACATATTGCTTTGTTTTCTCCTCTATGTTAGCTCTGGCTTTCTCGTGGATCTGTTTAACAAGCTCTGCTCTTTTCTTTCCATCTAAGCTAATTCTTTCACTCAAAAGAAGAGAGGTTAGATCCAAAGGCGACAAAGGATTAAATCCATAAACAATATCAAAAGGCGAGAATTTAGTAGCTGAATGCACTGAATGGTTATATGCGAATTCTACATGAGGCAAACAGTCTTCCCATGCCTTAAGATTCTTTTTAATCAATGCTCGCAACAATGTAGACAATGTTCTATTCACTACTTCAGTTTGTCCATCAGTCTGTGGGTGACAAGTAGTGGAAAACAAGAGCTTTGTACCTAGCTTAGACCATAAAGTTTTCCAAAAGTAGCTTAAGAACTTGGTATCTCGATCAGATACTATGGTCCTAGGCATGCCATGTATTCGAACAATGTCCCTAAAGAACAGATTAGCTACATGCGATGCATCATCAGTCTTGTTACATGCAATAAAATGCGCCATTTTAGAGAACCTATCAACTACAACAAAGATCGAATCCTTTCCAGTCCTAGTTCTAGGCAATCCAAGCACGAAATCCATTGATATATCAGTCCAAGGATGATAAGGAATAGGTAAAGGTGTATACAAACCGTTGGACTGAACCTTAGCTTTAGCTTGCTTACAGGTCGCACATCTTGAGCAAACTCGCTCAACGTCCCTCTTCATGTGAGGCCAGTAAAAATGATCTTGTAATACTTTCAAGGTTTTGGCTATACCAAAATGACCCATGAGTCCTCCTCCATGAGCTTCCCTGACTAACAAGTCTCGAATAGAACAGTTAGGGATACACAAACGATTATGAAAGAAAAGAAATCCCTCTTGTCTATGATAATAACCCGAAGCAAACTTAGCTCAAGACTCATAAACGTTTTGAAAATCCGAATCAGATGAGTACAGAAGTTTAAGTTGTTCAAAACCAAGAAGTTTAGCATCAAGAGTGGAGAGTAGAGTGTACCTTCGAGACAATGCATCGGCAACTACATTGTCCTTACCTTTCTTGTATTTGATGACATAGGGAAATGTCTCAATGAACTCAACCCACCTCGCATGTCTCTTGTTAAGCTTTTGCTGTCCTTTAAGATGCTTGAGGGATTCATGATCGGTATGGATTACAAACTCCTTGGGCCACAAGTAATGTTGCCATGTTTGTAAAGCCCTGACCAAAGCGTATAGTTCTTTGTCGTAGGTTGGGTAATTGAGAGTGGCTCCTCCAAGCTTCTCACTAAAGAAAGCAATCGGTCTCTTGTCCTGCATCAGCACAGCTCCAATTCCAATACCTGAAGCATCACATTCTATTTCAAAAGTTTTAAGGAAATCAGGTAAAGATAATAGAGGGGCATTAGTAAGCTTATGCTTCAAAGCTTCGAACGCGGCTTCTTGAGCTTCTCCCCATTGGAATCCCACATCTTTTTTGATAACTTCTGTGAGAGGGGCAGCTATAGTGCTGAAATCTCTGACGAATCTCCTATAGAACCCGGCTAGGCCATGGAAACTCCTAACTTCACCGACAGTCTTAGGGGTTGGCCAGTCTTTGATGGCCTTGATTTTTTCTTCATCCAGCTTAACGCCATCTGCACTTACAACAAAACCTAAAAAGACAAGGTTATCTGTTCCAAAGGTGCATTTCTTTAAATTGGCATACAGTTTTTCCTTTCTCAGCTCATCTAGAACGGCTCTTAAATGCATTACATGCTCATCTAGATTCTTGCTATAGACAAGTATATCATCGAAATAGACAACTACAAAGACCCCTATGAATGCTCTAAGGACATGATTCATAAACCTCATGAATGTACTAGGTGCATTAGTTAATCCAAATGGCATAACAAGCCATTCATATAAGCCATGTTTAGTCTTAAATGCAGTTTTCCACTCATCTCCTTCTTTCATTCTAATTTGATGGTATCCACTTTTAAGATCAATTTTAGAGAATATGTTAGACCCATGCAACTCATCTAACATATCATCGAGTCTAGGGATAGGGTGGCGATACTTTACAGTGATATTATTGATGGCTCTGCAATCTACGCACATTCGCCAGCTCCCATCCTTCTTAGGCACAAGCAGAACCGGTACTGCACAAGGACTCATGCTTTCTCTTATGTGTCCTTTCTCCATTAGTTCATCGACTTGTCTTTGTAACTCTTTCGTCTCAACCGGATTGGTTCTATAAGCAGGGCGATTAGGCAATGAAGCGCCAGGCATGAAATCAATCTGATGTTCAATGCCTCTAAAAGGAGGTAACTCTTTAGGATTATCTTCAGGGAAGACATCATTGTATTCCTGCAAAAGAGTTTGAATTTTACTCGGAAAAACCGGTGTGAGATTAGTCATATTGGTGAGAGCCTCCTTAAACACAAATAAAAGAACCGGTTGGTTAGAACTAAGAGATCTTTTGACATCACCAGCCCTCAGGTAGAAGTTAGATGCTTTAGTAGGCGGCTTTGTCTTTTGCTTTAGCTGCATTTGATCCTGGTATACTTCTTGTGGTGTCAAAGGTATGAGGGTAGTCTTCCTGCCTTTAAAAACAAAGGAATATTTGTTAGTAAACCCATCGTGAACAACCTTTCGATCCGATTGCCATGGCCGGCCTAGAAGTATGTGTCCTGCATCCATGGGCAACACATCGCACTGTATCTCGTCTTTATATCCTCCAATAGTAATAGGGACCATGCCACGGCTGTTGACCTTTAATTCCCCATCATTATTCAACCAGTTGAGCTTATAGGGTCGGGGGTGCTTCTCGGTGGCTAGGTTGAGCTTTTGAACCATCTCTTGACTTGCTACGTTGGTGCAGCTACCTCCATCTATGATGAGACTACAAACTTTCCCTTGTACAAGGCACTGGCTATGAAACAAATTCTCTCTCTGCTCCTCTTCCATAGCTTTGGCTTGCACGCTTAAAGACCTCCTTGATACAAGTAAGGATCCTTGAGCAGGAAGCTCTTCATGTTCAGAATGAGACTCGGCTTCAGACTCAGCTGTTGATTCCCATTCGCCATCGTCCTTGAGTATCATGATTTTCTTATTTGAACACTCGTTTGCGTAATGCCCTCTTCCAAGACACTTGAAACACTTAACGTCTCTGGTTCTTGTTGACCCCATAGCTTTGTTTTGGTTATCTGATACCGAAGTGAATGACTTAGGTTCCTCTTTAGAGACACCAGCTGGCTTCTCTTCTTTTGATACTGAGCTCGGCTTCTCCTCACTAGAATATCTTGGTTTAGTAGGCATTCCCCCAGTTCTATAAACGGTTTTGGTGTTTCTCCTCTTGAGCTGTTGTTCTATGAGGATGGCCTTGTGCAACATATCTTCTAATTCCTCATATTGCTGCATCTCAAGTTTGTCTTGAATCTCTCTGTTCAATCCTCCTAAGAAACGAGACATAGTGGCTTCAGCATCTTCTCGAATATCAGCTCGTAGCATCAAGGTCTCCATGTCTTGATAGTAATCTTCAACAGATCGGTTGCCTTGTGTGAGCCGTCTAAGTCTTCGGTGCAATTCTCTATGGTAGTGACTTGGCACAAACCTTTTTCTCATGAGAGATTTCATCTCCTCCCAAGTATCAATAGGAAATTGCTGATTTCTTCTTCTAGTCGTAACAACCTGATCCCACCAACAAAGAGCATAATCGTAGAACTCGGTAGTGGCTATCTTTACTCGATTAATCCCGGCGAATTGTTGGCAATTGAACAACAATTCGATCTTCTTTTCCCACTCTAAGTAGGCATCAGGGTCGTTTTTGCCGTGAAAAGGAGGGATTCTGAGTTTAACTCCTCCAAAACCCTCTTGAACTCGTTCTTCCTTGTGTCGCCTATGCCTTCTTCGACTGTCTCTTGAGGAACTACTAAGAAGACCGTAATAATCTGTGGCCGCATCATCTCTGAGAGGTCTAGTCGGCTCCAAAACTTCCTCAGGTTCTTTCCCTAGATCTCTTCTCTTATCTTTGCTAGCCTTTGGTTTGGTCTGCTCTTGAATCTCCTGTCGAAACTCCTCGAGGCTCACGGTCACAAGCTTCTTAACTTCGGCTAACATTGCCTCCATGTATAGTTTGTTAACATCATTAGCACTGGACTCTTCTTGTTGATCACTCATTGTTCCTGAAACAAGGATAACACGAAATCACTAGCAACAATTCTCTGATCATTTTACAAAACAAAAGTGACTATTCGTGTTCTACAAGAAATCATGATCGATAGATTGAATTCGAAAAGTCAGATTTGCAAAACACGGATCCGAGCCTAGAAGTTAAAAGGCCACTTAGATCTATCCGATTTGATAACAACTTAATCTCCGAAATTTGATCTCGCCTAATAAATCTAGGTTAATTCGATGCAGTGGAACACAAGTAACAGATTCGATTAATCGGTGACGATGATCAAACTTGGTAAAACACAAAGACAATCGAAAAACAACAAGGAAAAATACAACCTGATGTTTTCGACGATCCAGCAGTTTGAGTGCTTGCTCTGATACCACTTAATATGATTCTCCCTGAAATCGACACTCACTAAACTGGATCAAAAGGGGATAGCCTTGCACACAAACGAATTGTATCAAGGTTTGTGGGTTTAGATAAGACTCCAAGGGTTGCGAAAGACCCTTGATGAATGGTTTCCGAATCAACTAAGGATATTACACACCAAAGATGAATCGAAAGGCCTTGAAGGATATTACACACCAACAAGAGGGTTTGATCTTACTTAGAAAAGATTTTGATTAAAAGATAAGATAGTCTCAAAAGAGAGTTTACAGGCGAATATAAAGAGAAGCACATATGAGTCTACAAAGCATTAAAGTGTCTAGGAACTAGTTCTTTGAAAGCTGGCCGAGTTTGAATTCGAACTCTTCTTCACACGCTCCTCTTCTTCTTCTTTGGACTCGGCTGATTGGCTTAGATGTGAGGTGATCCAAACTATGCCTCATTAAAAACCTATCTCAAGAAAACCCATTGGGACAAAACTTGAGATAGGGAAAAAGAGTACATATTTGGATCACAAGCCCATTAGCCTTCTCGGACTTGGATCACAACTAGTGTAGTTGTGCCCATCTCTTTTCCCTTTTGTTCCACAAGCGTTCCATGCTTAAGTATTTCCCCAACAGCTTCCTTGAGCCTCTTAGCCTTTGCTCGGGTCATGGGACCTTTTGTAATGAGCAAAGGGTCTTCTTGTTCCATTTCCTGAACCTTGTCTTTGCTCCTTAGCTCCTTAGCTCCTTGCGATTCTCCATCTGGTTCCCACTCATTATTGATGCTATCCAAGATCATATCAGGTGTGCATGTTCCACTTGCAGCTAACGAGTCCAAGTAACTCAATGTGAAGCTCAAGGCTTCATCTAATATATAATCTGTTGTCGTCCCAATGTGAGCAGTTTCATACAAGCTCAGGATACCCTTACCATCTCCGGCAAGACATTCCTTAAATTCTCCATTGTCCCCTTTGAATATCCTAAAAACATCTATTGACCAACAAGAATAACCTTTTGTTACATACATACGATCATCAAAAAACTTGTACCAGTTTTTTTCGATCTAGACCACATTTTGTTGATCTTATGCATGCGTATTTGGCTTTCATATTTTGGAATTTCTGCTGAAAAACTATCTCTATTAGTTTTGTAAAGAGAAATGCTATTTCGTACGAACGTCGATCATGATCACAAGCAGGACTCTCTCATGTTATTAAACATGTTTTTGATGCGTTAATACTTTTTAAAAAATAATTACAGGACACATGTTTCATGTTTGAGTAAGTGGGATATCACTTGCACCCACTTATAGCTAAGTCATTTGATTATTTTAGCTAAATTGTTTTTTCAAATTCCCCAAAGCAATTAAACCTGTCATTCCATTGCCTATGTTTTTTACTCCATTTTGTTTTGTATCAATAAATTATTATTGTTTTCCTTTGTCACCAAATAAATATATTTTCTAGATCCGGTCATTGTATACTAGCTAGTTGCATATGCTAAAAGACGGGTCTAATCACAAAGCAAGCCAGAGAATCCTTACCAGAAGAAATGTTGTGACTATATGTCCTGTGTTGGATAATTACAAACTTGAAGACCAAGTTATCTCTTCTAGAAAGTGCTAAAGAGATAATGACAGGATTTATAGATAAGATTTAGATATATTTTATATGTTTAGATAAGGTTTATATTTCCTATTCCATATAGTTTAAGGAGTTAGCTTATACTATATATATGAGTCTTAAGGAGAGATGTTCCTTATGACTTAGACAATTTGGTTTAGTTTTGAGAGAGTTTCTAAATCAATAAGAAAAGCAGTTCTTAAATCTGAGTCTTTTAACTTTGAATTGGTATCAGAGCTTGAGTTTAAGCTAAGAAGAAATCAATTAACAAGTGCAAAACAATGGGAGACGAAATCGTGCAAGCACAAACAAGAGCAAAAGACATAGGATCATCAGCGATCCAATGTCCAATGTTAACTTCGACCAACCACACAGTTTGGTCAATCCGAATGAAAGTTATGCTCAGGGTATACGAAGTTTGGGACACCATAGATCCTGGATCAGACGATGCAAAGAAGAACGATATAGCAATCGCCTTGCTGTTCCAATCAATACCCGAGAGCTTAATCCTGCAACTGAAGGAGCCGACGACGTCAAAAGCAGTCTGGGATGGCATCAAGTCACGACATCTTGGAGCTGATCGTGTAAGAGAGGCAAGACAACAGACTCTAATGGCCGAGTTCGATAAATTGAAGATGAATGACACAGATACAGTCGATGACTTCGCCGGAAAGATATCAGGGATAGCTTCAAAATCATCCTCTCTAGGGCAAACCATCGAAGAGTCTGTGTTAGTAAAGAAGTTTTTAAAGGGACTCCCAAGAAACAAATTCATTCATATAGTAGCTTCATTGGAACAGGTCCTAGAGCTAAATAAAACGAGCTTTGAGGACATAGTTGGGAGGCTTAAAGCTTATGAAGACCGCATTGGGGAGGACACTCAAACCGAAGATCAAGCGAAGCTAATGTGGGCTAATTCAGATCATAGTAACCGTGGAGGTTATGGAGGTTCTCGAGGTAAAAGCAGAGGTGGTGGAGGCAGAGGAAGAGGTCGAGGGAGATCAAATAGCCAAAACCAAGGAGGAGCACCTGGAGAATCGAATCAGAAACAAAAGAAGGACAGGTCGAAAGTCATCTGTTGGATATGTGACAAACCTGGCCACTTCGCATCAACTTGTCCAGAAAAGAAAAATAAAAACCAAGAAACAAACCTCAACGAAACAGAGGAAGGAGAAGCACTCTATGTACACGAAGTGGTATTCCTAAACGAGGACAAAGTGATGCCGAAGACCTATGATACCAACAAGTGCGATGCAAGTATGTGGTATCTTGATAATGGTGCGAGCAACCATACGACAGGGAATGAGAAATTTTTCTCAAGTCTGAATGAAAACATCAAGGGGAAGGTTAAGTTCGGAGATGGTTCGTATGTTGATATAGAAGGAAAAGGAACGATTGTTTTTGTGGGCAAGACAGGAGAAAGAAAGGCACTCAAAGACATATACTATATTCCTAACCTTAAGCACAATATATTGAGCCTTGGACAAGCAACAGAAAACGGTTGCGAAGTTCACATGAAAGGAGACGCTTTGACATTGAATGATCCTCACGGAAGACTGCTGGTGAAGGTCACAAGGTCACAAAACCGTCTCTACAAAACACCAATGGAGATCAGTTACCCTAAATGTTTTCATATCGAAGGTGATGATAATACATGGACTTGGCATTCACGTCTTGGACATGTAAACTTCGGAGTAATGAAGAACATGGTTGATAAGGAGATGGTTTTAGGAATGCCACAAGTTCTACAGGAGAAGAGCATCTGTGAGACTTGTCTAAAAGGAAAGCAAACAAGAAAACCATTCCCAAAACAAGCAAAGTTCCGAGCCACACAAGTTTTAGAGCTGGTACATGGAGACTTGTGTGGACCGATATCACCACCAACACCAGCAAATAATCGGTATGTCTTTGTCTTAATAGACGACTTCTCAAGATACATGTGGACACTGCTGCTAAAAGAGAAGAGTGAGGCATTCGATCGGTTCAAAAGGTTCAAAGAGATAGCTGAAAAACAGAGTGGATCAACTATCAAGACCTTTCGCACCGATAGAGGAGGAGAGTTTACCTCAGCTGAGTTCAAGACATTCTGTGAAGAGAATGGAATATCGAGACAGCTAACTGCTCCATACACACCACAACAAAATGGTGTTGTGGAGAGAAGGAATCGAACATTAATGGAGATGACCAGAAGTCTTCTTATGGCGATGAAGATTCCGAATTCTCTATGGGGGGAGGCTGTACGTCATGCAACCTACCTCATTAACCGAATTCCAACAAAGGCGTTGAAGCATCAAACCCCTTATGAGAGCTTCATGAACAAGAAACCAAGCATAGAACACTTGAGGGTTTTTGGTTGTGTCGCTTATGCAAAAGTCACTGGACCATATCTGAAGAAACTAGATGAAAGATCAAAGAGTGTGGTACATCTTGGAACAGAACCGGGTTCCAAAGCCTACAGACTCTATGATCCAAAAGCTAGAAGAGTAATGGTGAGCAGGGACGTGGTTTTTGATGAGAAAAAACCTTGGGAATGGACAACTTCAACACAAGAAACAGAAGGAGAACCGGGGATGCTAAAGCTACCATACGCTGATCATATAGAGGAAGAAGCAGAAGAGGATCATGATCAAAACATTGATCAAGATCAGGAACCGATTGATCAAAACGTGGTAGAAGAAGCAAACACGGAACAAGGACTAAATCAAGAAGAACAGCCTCAGCAACTAACTACAAGATCTGGCCGAGTAGTGAAGAAACCAGGGTACTTAGAAGATTTTGTAATGTTTGCAGAACAAGAAAGTGAGAGATTACTTCTAACAGTAGATGGAGAACCGGAAAACTTTCTTGAGGCAAAACACTTACAAGATTGGATTGATGCTATGAAGGCTGAACTGGATTTTCAATCACAAGGAATAAAACATGGGAGCTAGTTACAAGACCAAAGGGGATCAAACCTATTGGACTGAAGTGGATTTACAAGATTAAGAGGAATGCAGATGGATCAGTGAACAAGTATAAAGCCAGACTCGTGGCAAACGGGTATGTGCAACAACAAGGTATAGACTTCGAAGAAGTCTTTGCCCCTGTGGCAAGGATCAAAACTATACGACTCCTGATTGCTCTAGCCGCAACAAAAGGATGGGAGATACATCACTTGGACGTCAAAACAGCTTTCCTAAATGGTGATCTACTTGAAACGGTCTATGTAAGTCAACCTGAGGGCTTTGTAAAGAAAGGACAAGAGGATCGAGTATATAAACTTCACAAAGCTTTGTATGGTCTGCGACAAGCTCCTAGAGCTTGGAACATCAAGCTAGATCAAGTTCTTAAGACAATGAACTTTAAAAAATGTCTAAAGGAGCCATCGGTGTATCTCAAGAAAAACAGGAGGACACTTTGATTGTGGCTATCTATGTGGATGATCTTTTTGTGACAGGAACTTCACAAAAGATCATAAAACAGTTTAAAGATGATATGTCAAACAGGTTTGAGATGTCAGATCTTGGAAAATTGACATATTATCTCGGTATTGAAGTGTTTCAAGGAGCAGATGGTATCAAGATTAAACAAGAAGGCTATGCTCAGGGAATTCTAATCGATACTCAGATGGAAACATGCAACCTATCCCATATACCAATGGAAGCGAACTTAAAGATCTCTAAAGCAGAAAGTGAAGAAGAGATTGATGCCACTCGGTATAGGAGGACAATAGGTTGTTTGAGGTATCTTCTTCATACAAGACCTGACATGGCATATGCAGTAGGAGTTTTAAGTCGCTATATGCAGAGTCCAAGAGTAAGTCATGGACAAGCCATTAAGCGCATACTAAGGTATGTAAAGGGAACTACAAATCTCGGCCTACACTTCAGAAGAGATGGATCAAGCAAAGTCATAGGATATAGTGACAGCAGTCACAATATCGATGTTGATGATGGAAGAAGCACAGGCGGGCATGTATTCTATCTAGGCTCATCTCCGATTACTTGGACATCTCAGAAGTTATCTACAGTTGCTTTATCTTCATGTGAAGCAGAGTTCATGGCAGGCACAGAGGCGGCAAAACAAGCCATATGGATTCAAGAATTGTTGAAAGAAGTTCTAAGTATTGACAATGGAAAAGTTATACTTAGAATAGACAACAAATCGGCCATAGCATTAACCAAAAACCCTGTCTTTCATGGAAGAAGCAAACACATCCTCTCTAGGTACCATTTTATCAGAGAATGTGTGGAGAATGGTCAGATTGAGGTGGAGCATGTTCCAGGCGCAGAACAGAAGGCGGACATACTCACTAAGGCGTTGGCAAGACTGAAGTTCAAAGAGATGAGAAGCTTGCTTGGAGTTGAAGACATCATCTTACCCGAAATTCAAGTTGGAATTAAGGGGGAGAATGTTGGATAATTACAAACTTGAAGACCAAGTTATCTCTTCTAGAAGGTGCTAAAGAGATAATGACAGGATTTATAGATAAGATTTAGATATATTTTATATGTTTAGATAAGGTTTATATTTCCTATTCCATATAGTTTAAGGAGTTAGCTTATACTATATATATGAGTCTTAAGGAGAGATGTTCCTTATGACTTAGACAATTTGGTTTAATTTTGAGAGAGTTTCTAAATCAATAAGAAAAGCAGTTCTTAAATCTGAGTCTTTTAACTTTGATCCTGAAAACCCAGAAGATAATGGAAACAGTGTACAAATCATCTTCACCCGCGATCATCTCCTCTATGTTTGGGAAACCATCTTTTATACTCTCTCTGATCTCATCTTCGAAATGATACGTGACTCCAAGGCTCACAAGCAAATAGATAAAAATGATGTTCTTCTTGCTTAATTTACTTCCTATAAACATGTCCCTCACTTTTGGCCTTAGAGCATCTCCAAGAGATACCTTATAACTTCAATTATAAGGTTTTATGTCCTCCAAGAGATACCTTAAAACTTCAAATTTTGAGGTATTGAACAGTGACACCTTATATTTGAGGTATCACTGTTCAATACCTCAAATTTGAGGTGTCATCTTTTTTATTTGCATTTCAGTCCTTTCAGTTATATGCTTTAAAATTAATCATAATAACTTTTGTTTTTATCATTTCAACTCTCCTAATTTAATATTTTATTAATATTTCATTTTTATTTTTAGAAATAAATTATATATATACATATAAAATTTTAAAAGATAATTTAAAATAAAAATAATAATGACAAATAGTAATATAATACATAACATTAAAAAATAAATACATAATAACAATATTATATAAAGCAAATTTCATATAAACAAAAATAACACAAAAATAAACTTACATGAACATATAAATTTTGTTTGTAATTTATGATTTAGTTTGTGTATTTTATTATCATTAATATTTAATATTATATTAAAGTTGTATTAATTAATATTGCCTATAATATTTTTAATATGTATTTTTATAGTTATTTATCAAAGTTTTATGATATTAGTTAATTAATTATAAATAGTAAGGACTAAAGTGTAAAGTATAATATTTTTAAGGTATCATTTTAAGGTTTATCATTGGAGAGCATCACCTTCAAACCTCAAATATAAGATTTCTCACACCTTAAAAATACAGTGTCTCTTAGAGATGCTCTTAGTGCCTCTATCTCTCTCCTAGTCTCCCAAGCGCATCCATTTCCTTCAGAAAACGAAAAGAAACGTAAACATAAATTCATTATACATACCCTCTATATATATATATATATCTAATATATATATGTATGTAGAGAGAGCTAAAGAGAGAGACTTACTGAGAAGTCAACATGAGCGGAGAGGAATTTATGACGCCACTCAGAAGGGCCCAATTTTCTGAACTTGCGATTGTTTTCTTCATCTTCACAAGCCAGAGTAAGAGTAGTGGCTTTCAAAGGAACAAGATGTGCATGCTTACCGGGAAATGACGTCAACGGAAAGCGGGAGGGTTTGCATGCAGGAAATAAATTGGTCTGAGAACGAATAGAGAGTTGTGGACTAAAAGCTCTTATGGCTGCCATGTTTACCACTAATGGTTTCACCACCAAATTTATAGGCACATTGTGTCTGTCATATGAAAGCACATAAGCATATTTGATTTTGCTTTTGCTTTAGACCATGTTTATCGGTTAAACCCACAAGGGTTTTTAAAACATATTTTATATTAAAATTTTGAGAAAAAAAAGATAGAAATCGAAGAAAAAAGAGAAAGAGAGAGAAAATGAAGAGAATGAATGAGAGAGAAAAGCCAAAAAAACAGAGAGGATTTTTCCTGCTATTAACCAACCCCAATAAAAACAAGACATGTGACATTAAAATACGCCTATTAAAATCTCTAAATAAGAAACGTTTTCAACAAATATTGAGTTTTTTTTTTGGGTCAAAAACTTTTAAAAAATCTTTAAAAACTCCCGATAAACATGCTCTTAGTATATATATATATAATTTTTTTAAGGCTTGTTTTTCATCTGATTTTATTTTTAATTAATATGAATGCATGCATAAATTTTTTTTGTTTTTTAAATCAATTTTCTATTATAAATGATAAGAATAATTACATGAACAATTTTTTAACAAAGAATTTACTTGTTTACGAATTAAATTACACCACGACGACAATATCACCACACTCCTTCAATTTACCTTCATTATTTTGGATTCTCCAAAATTTCATATCCCTTAGAAACATCAGTAAATCAACTATGAGACCGAAGAGGCTTCTTCCACTATCCAAAATGTGGTTTGCAACAAATTTTGTTAATTGTTGTTTAGACCAGTTTGATTCATGATTTGATCAGAAGATTTTTAAAAGATTTGGAAGAACGATTAAGAAACTGAAAAGGTGTACAAATGATTATAGATAAGATGTCAACCGGCTTAACCTATTTATATAACCATTTTTACTGTAAATAAAATATTTTTTGGCTAATCTACAAAAACATATAGTCTTAAAAATCATAATTTTAATATTGTGAGTCAGTCAACAAACTCTTATGAATAAAATATATTTTTTCTTGTTTAACTTCTTATAAAATTAGTAAAAAAAATTTGGTATATATTCAAATAAACTATACTAAATTATAGTAAAAAATATTGTAAGATCTAATATATATATATATATATATATATTTCTTCCCTTTTTCTTTGAATATAAATAAATTGCTATTATATTAATATATATATAATATTTTTAATATACTAATAATTCAGAAATTAAATAATAATAACTTATTAATGGAAAATTTTTTTGCCAAATTAAATAATAAAATACTAATAACTGAATACTTTCCAAATTCTCTTCTATAATTTCAAAAGAAAATTATATTACTTTCTAATTTAATTATTTTTTCTAATTTGTAATAACACATTATGTAATATCTTACAGATCAAAGTTTATTTTATAATGTCTCACTAAAAAATAATATAGAGTATTCTGTGTAGCTGTGTAGCTGATAATATATCAATTTTTATTAAATAAAATAAATATAGAGAGTTAGTCTGAAAAAGCTAATAGCAAAATATCCTTTGTTAGTGGATCATTAGGAATCATGATTCACATCGCATTTTCTTAAACAAAAAAATGCTTTCTCATTTGTCAAAAATTTGACACATCTTTTTTTCTTTTTTTTTGAAAATATATTAAATTATATTTAAAAAAAGACTGTTTTCTTTACATGATTTTTTCGATTTAAAAAAGAGATGAAAGAAATATAGTCGCGAAAATCAAAAACAGAAAGCAGAGCTTGTTGGAATAGAGTATTTTCATTGCTTTAACTTCGAGAGCTGAACCATACTTCCAGACCGTCTTCGTAACTGTTGTCACCGACGGTATGAAGTGAGCTCAAGCGATTACGAACCATTTTGTCAAGACTGACAATTAGGCTTTGCAGAGGCACAGGGTTTTCGCCATGTCTTCTACAGTTACGTTCCCTCCAAATCCAGGTGATGGAGATTTGAAAAACATATCTAGCGAGAAACAGAATGGTATTGTCCAGAACATTTGATGAGAGAATTTCCAGAATATCCTCCCAGTTCCTTGTGTGCCTTACACCAAGCAGACCTCGAGCTAATCCATCCCAGAGTTGCTGCGAAAAACTACACTCAAAAAACAGATGAGACTTTGTTTCCACTGGGACAGAGCAGTATACACATGATGCAGATACTCCTCTATTCCATTTCAACATTTGCTCCCCTGTTGTCAAACGATTGAGCACCGCCAACCATGTTATGAAGGCGCACTTAGGCGTTGTTTTTTTAAACCAAATTGCTGAACTCCAACTCCTCTGAATTGCTGTTTGCCTGATATTTTGCCATGTTTGCTTTGATGAGAACTTGGGTAGGAATCGGTTATGATTTGCTCGCCATAGCGATTGATCAGAACCGTTGTTGTGTAGAGTCGCTGCTTGCCATATCTCATCCTCAATTGAGTTGAAAATGGTGTTTCTGTGACGTTTGCGTCGGTGCGTACGCCAAACAGTAGCTACAGTGGCATAAGCAGAAACACCAAACGCGATGAACCCAGTAGGTTCCGTTATATCGATCAGGCGCCCCATAGAGCTCCAGTCATCATACCAGAATGAAGTCTCCTCTCCATTGTTCACTTTAATGCGATGAAATCCTTTCGCAATGTTTCTGTTTTTGAGAAGCCGTCGCCATATCCATGAGCCATTTACTTGCGATTCTGTTAAGGACCAGAACGATTTCCCACGTAAAAGGTAAGCTCGAGACTGTAAGATTATGAAACTCCGTAGAGAATTCTATTAATGAGGCAATCCTTATATAGTTACAAGAGGAGTAGCCTCCAAGTAATCTTTACATATTTGACAATATCGTATAAAGGAAATATTCTATTTTCCTATAATCTTATACTCCCCCGCAGTCAGAGCGGGAGGTTCTCGAACGCTCAGACTGGATCTAAAGTCGAGGAAGAGCTTGGAAGGTAGTCCCTTGGTGAATATATCGGCATACTGCTGAGCTGAAGGAACATGTAAAACTTTAATATGGCCAAGTGCTACACGTTCCCGGACGAAATGGATGTCGATCTCGATGTGCTTGGTGTGTTGATGTTGAACAGGATTAGCAGACATGTAAACGGCACTGACATTGTCACAGAAGACAACAGAGGTGCGTTGTAGTGGGCACTGCATTTCAAGAAACAAGTTGCAAAGCCATGTTAACTCAGACACAGCATTCGCCACACCTCTATATTCCGCTTCAGCACTAGACTTAGAGATTGTGTGTTGCCGCTTAGAAGACCAAGAGATCAAATTATCACCAAGAAAAACACAAAATCCAGACGTTGAACGACGAGTAGTTGGACACCCAGCCCAATCAGCATCAGAGTAAGCTTTGAGCTGAGTTGTTGAAGAAGACCGATACAGCTGTAACCCGTGAGAGATCGTACCTTTAACATAGCGAAGAATGCGCTTCAAAGCTTGAAAATGTGCTTCACGAGGATCATGCATAAATAGACAAACTTGCTGTACAGCATATGTGATATCCGGTCTAGTAAAGGTGAGGTACTGCAAAGCTCTAGCAAGACTACGATAGAGAGTAGGATCCTTCATTGGAGGACTCGCATCAGCCGCAAGCTTGGGCTTCGTGTCAACGGGAGTCAAGCAGGGGTTGCATGCAGTCATATTGGCACGATGAAGAACATCAGCTGCATAATTGTGCTGATGAAGAAACAAACCTTGTTGATTGCGACATATAGAGATCCCAAAAAAGTGATGCAATGGTCCGAGATCAGTCATAGCCAACTCGGAATGAAGAGAGGCAATAATCGACTTTAAAAGTGACGGCGTGGAGGCTGTAAATGCGATATCGTCAACGTAAAGTAAAAGATAGGCACATTCAGTACCACGAAGCATGATAAACAGCAATGTATCACTAGTACTCTGAAAAAATCCAATACGACGAGCAAATACAGCAAACCGTGTGTACCATGCATGAGGAGCTTGCTTAAGACCATAAAGAGATTTGTGAAGTAAGTAAACATGATCAGGTTTAGATTCATCACGAAAACCTGGAGGTTGATGCATGTACACCGTTTCTTCGAGATCACTATGTAGAAACACATTCTTGACGTCGAGATGATGAAGAGGCTAATCACGCGCAACAGCAACACTTAGAACCGCACGGATTGTAGCCGATTTGACGACGAGACTGAATGTTTCGCCACAGTTGATGCCTTGCTGCTGAGACTTGCCATTCGCCACTAAACGAGCCTTGTAGTGCACTAGCTTCCCACCTGAATCAAATTTGTGCCTAAACAACCACATAGAACGAACAACATTAGCAAACTTTGGATGTGGTACAAGAGACCACGTTCTAGTTTTAATAAGAGCATTATATTCCTCATGAGTAGCAAGATTCCAATTTGGATCCTTCAAAGCCTGAACATGCAACGACGGAAGAGGAGAGACAACATCTGTGTGAAGACAAAAGCGTTAGATAGATCCAAGCACCGATATCCACGATGATCAGTTAGATATCCCAAGAAGACACAAGGCATGGAGCGAGGAGCAAGCTTGTGTGGCGTGAGTGGAAGCAGATTTGGATAGCATAGGCACCCAAATACTCGAAGATGATCATACTTAGCAGGCTTGTTGAAGAGCTTGGTAAATGGGACTGCTTGCGAGATAGACGATGATGGCAGCAAATTGAGAAGATGAACTGCAGTAGATAGAGCTTCAACCCAATAAGTCGGAGGCATATGAGCCTGAATGAGAAGAGTGTGCACCAAGTTATTGAGGGTACGAAGCATGCGTTCAGCCTTCCCGTTTTGTTAGGACATATATGGGCAAGAAAAGCAAAACTACTCTTCCCGGTAGTGGCAAAGAGCGTCTGAAACTGTCCATTGTCATACTCCCTTCCATTGTCACATTGAAAACACATGATATTCTGTCCAAAATGAGTGCGAACCAAAGCTGAGAAGTGGAGATAAGAGGCAAAGACGTCACTCTTTCGTGGCAGAGGGTAAATCCAAACATAGTGGCTAAAATCATCAAGAAAGATGAGA